AACTGTTCTAAAACGTCTTTATCAGATTCATGTAAACTAAATGGAGGAGGTTTTTAATACCAAGAAATACCAAGAAATAAAATGATTCGAATAAATATTAGCAATATAAGCAAATGATTTCTGATTTTTCCAGTGGATCAATTTGACATTCATGTTCTAAAAATAGGCGTATACCCTTGTATTTAGTCACGTAAATGAACTTTTTTTTATATCAACTATATATAGAGCTAGTCGGGATGTCACCTTTTCACTTAAATTGATCCTTTGTTTTTCTTAATTAATTACGAATTTCTTTAAAAGATAATTCCAATGATGTGGATTTCCAATGGATCAATAATAATTTGACATTAATGTTCTAAAAATGAGTGTAATTTTTTTTTTGGACAAATTTGACACTGACTTAGCAATTCGCCACCATTTTCGCGAAGGAACATATTTATCCGAGGGTATCATCAGCTCAGTAGTCAGAACTTCGGTACTGACATGATGTATAGCAAACCTATCTAAAATTGTCCGTTTATAAATTTATGAATTTATAAATGTTTAAGAAACAATGGTTTCATCTCCCTCAGGCATTATTGAGCTTTGATGAATTTAACTATTTTTGAGGTACTTTTTGGTTATAGAGCTCTTCATTTTCCGGTTCTTATACATCCTTTCTAATATTCGGCTTTGAGCGTAACTGATGAAGGTAAATCCAGAAATGCGCTTCGGACGCATGAAATTGATCACGTGTTTTTTTTATAATTTTTTACAGCCTGGGTCGATACCACTGCTGGTTGACTATCAGTACCCAAGTGGATCATCAGCTCAGTAGTCAGTACCTTCAGTACTGACATGATTTATTACGAACCTTTCTAGAATCGTCCGTTAATAAATTTTGAAATCATAGAGAAACTTTTGTTTCAAATCCTTCATGGCAAAGTTGACCTAAGGTGAATTTGACTATTTTTAGGTATTTTTTCGTCATATAGCTCTTCAACTGTTTCGGTTTTATACATCCTCGGCTTTCAAAAATTCGGTTTTGAGCGTTCCTGATGAAAGTAAATCCAGAAAAGCGGACGACTGCAATTGATAACGTTTTGCTTTATTTATTTTATCAAATACATATAGAGCTAGGTAGGAGTCAGCTTTTCACATAAATTGATCCTTTGTTGTTCTCTCAAATCGATAACTCAATGACAAATTTCTCAAAAAAATAAAATCCAGTAATGTCTATTATTAGAAGTTTTTGCTTCATAATACATTTTATTATGATGTCTTATCTTGTTTCTCATTGCTGTTCATATATGACTTATCATTGTGTCTGACGGTATATATCTATACAAAGTATTTTCCAAAAAAAAAAAAAAAGGCAAAATTTAAAATCAAATTACCACGTTACCAAAATATGTTGAAGATGATAAATATTGTGCTCTTACTGGCGAAGACAAATACAAACTCTGCATTAAGCAAACATTCCAAATATAAGGGAAAAAAAGAAAACATTTACAAAATTTTTACAATTATAAGTCTGGTATGTTTGACGAATATCTACCTGTTAGAATTATTTTTTTCTTGACTATCATTATATTTCATGCTTTACTAAATAACACCTAGTTCTTCAGACGAAGATAGGATAGTTAACATTTCTCACGGTAAGATTTATTAAATACAATCTTAATTTATGAAGCATTTTTACAACAAACTCTTTCTTTAAAGAAGGTCTCTTTCTTTTAATAAACAGGAGTGTGATCCTAAAGTAAGAACTGCTTCAACATAGTAATGGAAGAACGACTGCAAACGATACTACATAAGTTTCGCGGTCGCCATCACAAATAGGCTTTCTGATATGAAATGTGTGTTTCTCAACTCAGTAGAGACATATTATTGCAGTCTTTAGGTCTTTAGAAAACATGTACCCAAACATTCGTCTTGTCATTAATTTTACCGACTGCGTCTTATGCCCAATTGTGTTATTTGGTCTGCGTGTTGTAATGTACAATTAAATTTTTTATTTATGTATTTCTCTGTGTTGAGTGTTCTTGCGTTTGTTTGAACTGTATTCCTGTTATTAATGGTGTCATTTCAGCGCAGTATTGTTTAACATTGCCATATCAGCGGGATGTTTAGCTAGCCATAAAACCAGGTTCAACCCACCATTTTTTTCTTAAAATGTCCTGTACAAAGTCAGGAATATGGCAGTTGTTATCAAATAGTCCGTTTCGAAGTATGTTGGCGTTTGTTTTTGTTGGAGTTCAGTGTTTCATTTATTCCGTTGTTGATGTGTTTCCCTCGGTTTAGTTTGTAACCCAGATGTGTTTTCCCTCAATCGACTTTTGAACAGCGGTATACTACTGTTGCCTTTGTTTTGGTAATGTATGCATTACGAAAGTAGCTTACCCTGTCGACGAACATGATATCGCTCCCATGAGTTCATGCGATTCTCTCTGTATTAGTCTGTTACCTTGATTCGTTTTAGTCATTTTTTGAGATTTGAACATCGGTTTCCTACCTAAATGTATGTCGGGGACTGGCATGATAACATACCGGAAAGTAGCACAAATTTAATACAAACTTTACAGCCTTGTATTCATTTGATGAGTTAAGCTCTTTTCAACTGATTTTTTATAGTTTGTTCTAATATTGTTTTGTCACACTACTGTCCCAGATGTTGCTGTATATCTTATTTGTTTTTCGTTCATTATTTTGTTCATAAATCAGGTCGTTAGTTTTCTCGTTTGAATTTGTTACAATTGTCTTTTCCGGGCCTTGTATAGCTGACTATGTGGTGTGGGTTTGACTCATTGTTGAAGACCGTACGGTGACCTATAGTTGTTAACTTCTTTGTCATTTGGTCTCATGTGGAGAGTTGTATTATTGGCAGTCATATCACATCTTCATATTTTTATAGTTCCTATTCATATATGCTTCTACAAGTAGCTTTTGAAACAGATAGAATTAATTAAATATTTCCATAACATTTTACAAATGAAACCATTTTAGAACATTTTTGTTCATTTTTTTAATGTTGATTTTTATAAACATATTTATAGGAAATTGAAATATTGGGCATATGTTGCCTTGTTTTGTAGACAAGAAGTACCTTATATATAAACTCAATTGTGTTTATACTAATGAACTCTCTGGCTTAGAGCTTTCTTATCTACAGTTAACTGTTGGTTGATTATTCATTAGAATTAATCAGAAGGCATTAATTTTATATGGAATACCGTTCACTTTATTTGAACTTCAGACCTCAAAGATGGCCTTTGTCGTTGGTTCATGTCTGTCATATTTTTTTTTCGTAAACTGTTTTGTTATAAATTAGGCAGTTAGTTTTCTCAATAGAATTGTTTCAAATTTTTTATGTCGGGGCCTTTTATAGCCGACCATATGGTATTGGTTTTCTCATTGTTGAAGGCCGAACGGTTGCCTATAATTGTTTACATCCACTTCATTTGAACTTTGGTGGATAGTTGTCTCATTGACAATCCTATCACATCTCCCTATCTTTATATATATATTTTTGGTGAATTGAAGGTTGCCTTTTTGTTTGAAAAAGGCGACCTTTAAGGTAAATCTAGGAGAGAACTTCGAACGAATACATTTCTGATGATTTGATTTAATATAAGAATACTAGCTATAAACACAATAGGACCATGAATAAATGGTTTTATTCCTGTAGCTAAAGTGGGAGCAAGGCGTATCAAATTGTAACCCTGACATCTTTGATGGGTTTTTTTATTACTTTGTAAGCAAATATAACTAAACATTTGAAACCGAAATGGGTTGAAATTTCACGCATTATGATAATTTTATATACTTCATTTACATGGCGTATTCAAATTGAAAGTTTATTAAATTTTAAATAGATAACTTCTAATCTATGTCACATCTGACAGCTGGTTTATATTAATGATGATATTGTTTTTGTGTACGATGTTTATGTTGAGTTATCTGATCGTTATCTTTACGGCGATGATGACCGTATTTCTATTTTGTACCAAAATATTTACCAAAAAGATAAAAAATAAGTAGTTTTGTTTGTCGTCAAAGATCGTATTTTGAATAAATCCTTGTTTATACAGTGGAAATGAGGTATATGTGGGGACTCAAAGCGTGCTTTTTTTTTTATTAGCATACCCATCTAAACAGATATTGATCATTTGTCATAGTGAAGGCAGATGTTACACTTTTATAACTTAATTGTCCCAAAAAGGGAGATTCAAACTCATAAGTCGACAGAAGACTGACAACCACATGGCCATGTTTCTTTGTTTTTATTTTAAGGCAGTATCATTGAAAAAAATAGAGTGTGAACAGATTCTTAGTATCTATGTAGATATGTCATGAGTATGAGGAATAATCATTATAATGTGAGCTAGAAAAACCTTGGAAAAGGCAACATTGTAAAAAGAAACAATGCACGAAAGAATAAAACATCAATAAGTCGTTAACTTACAATCCAGTGGTAGTCATTCGTTGTGGTCTACCATATGTTTTTTTTCTATTTTTCATGGAGTGAAGATTTGGCCGTTTGTTTTAAATTGTTCAGAGTTTAGTCATGCATGGGCTTTAATAACTACACGTTATGTACTTTGGAGTTCGTGTTGTTCAGTCTTTAGTTTTCTTTGATGTGATTTGTTAACTGTTGTTTTCTTTAATTGTTTAATGTTTTTGGCAGGGCATAATCAGCTTGTTTTCGACTGATTGGTTTGAATTGGTATCGTTCGCCTTTTGTCCTTTGATCCCTTGGATGAGTATTCAATTGGCAGTCATACCAAAATCTTACAGAACATCTACAATCAAGTAAGGTCATCGTTAAAATATAGCTATTTATACTTCAAATGGCAACATCAGCCCAGTAGTTTGTACGTCAGTTCTGGCATGAAAATACGGATATTTTTTCATTAAAATTTGATGTTTTCAAAATTAATTGATGACATGCGCAAATGTTGCAATAAACTATGTGTCGTTAGTATTATTGTATTACTTTTTTTCCTTTACAGATGTTTAACATGTTATTGGTCGTTTTATCTTCTGTCCTGGTGTCTGTTTACGGGTTATGTCAAAACGTTGACGGGCAAAGCGTGTCATGGTGGATACTCTTCCAGCAGAAAGAAAGACCATACTTTCATAATTACATTGATAGTACTAACTCACAAAGAATAAAGGTTATTGAAGTTAAAATTATAAAGGATAAGAATTATCAAGAGAGATAAATACATAGATAGATGGAGAGGGAGATATGTTTGAGAGAGAGAGAGAGAGAGAGAGAGAGAGAGAGAGAGAGAGAGAGGAGAGAGAGAGAGAGAGAGAGATGATAAAAATCAAAAGAAATATTTGGAAACAGTAAATTAAACCAAACAACTAACATGTATCAGAATATTCAATATTTTTGATATTTTACTTTTTGTGTTGCTCTCCAAATATGTCATCATAGCGGAACTATAAACAACTGTCATACAAGAGGGAGGCTTAGTGAGCTATACAACAAAACAGGTTTAGTCCACCATTTTCAATACAAATGAAAGTACCAAGTCGGGAATAAGTTTTCCATTCGGATTGTTGGTTGATATAGTCGAACGTTTTTTTTTGGTCAGGTTTTATGGACTCCCCTTTTTTTTGAATAAATCTTAGTATTCGCAATTTTAAAGTAATTTTCTAGTTAGTGTATGTGATTTATTTCTATTAAATATTTCGTTCTCTTTGTTAGCTATTATTGGTGTAGCATCATTGCATCAGTGCCTGATTAAATGATATTTATTCCTTTCATTGCATGTACACTTTCAGTGGACAGTCGTATTCGAAGATGTCTTATACACGAAAATGAACACAGAATTGTGGCTAGGACAATAATAATATTTGATTCATTTGATTTGGAAAACCATTTTACTATTGACACCTACGATAATCTGTTGTATATTACTTTCATTTATTTGCATTTAATTTTTTTGGAGAAATTGATATAATTCATTTACATTTATTCGATTGTTTCATGTTTATAAATAACTCCAAATTTGCAGTTGCTGGTCAAAATTTGATGCACCGACTATAAACACAGTCATGTTTTTGTATCGTCTCGTTGCTCATATTAATCCTTAAGATGATTTTGATAATTTTAAATTCTACTGACTTATCATGTTAAATTGGTAATTATTAAGGAATACCTGTTGTGCCATTTATTCGTTTGTTTAAAATGAATTTTATTTTGTTTTTCTTAGGATCATTATCCAGAAAGAAATGACAGTGTTTTATCAAGATCAGTGGCATCAGTTATACATAACAATGAGGCCGAGTATATTATATACTCCAGTGATCTGATAAATGTGAAAGATATTGCTGCAAAATTCAGTATTCCAACATATTCCAAATGGATGCATGTAATTATTATTAAAGTGGTGTTAAAATTGGAAATAATTCTGTGTTAATAAAATAACAATGCTATCTGAAATGTAGATAAGAAACATCGACTTAGTGACTATATATACTATAATCTTACCTAAAACGGAAGACAAATTAAACACATGTATAATATTGTAACTATCTAGGTTTGAACAATACATGTAACTATTACAATCTGTTCCATTTCCATTCATACTTCCTTTTACTCCTCATATTACATGGGGAAAATAAAACATAAAGATTTTGTACGTTCGGAGCTGTTTTCTGTATTTACCTTCATCAAAAACACTCAAAACTATTGTTTGTTTAATATTTCCATAAAAATGAAGCACATCACATGACAAAGGACAGCACGCCTAACTTACAATGATAAAGAAAAGACTACACAGAAAAAGTTGGCTAATACCTTCAAAATACAATAAGGCATTTACAGAGAAAAATATTTAAAGTCTGTATTGTCAATAAGTCAAAAATGAAAAGCTATTGTGCTGGAGGAAGTCAAGGTTCACACCGAATCAAGCATATCTTATACTAGGTAAGAGCATAAACTGAAGTCACAAATGCGATAGAATGACCATATTGTTCGATTCCATATCTTATTAATTCACATTTATGTTATGTGTCACAGATGATCATGGAAATGTTCAACTTGTCGGTACTACAATCATGTCATCCATTGTTCCATTACTGAAGGACGGGAACCACTTTAGGGAGCACCGGAGTTTATCCCCATGATTTCATGATGCTCTCCAGGCTCAATGTTTATTTCTGTGTAATGAAGTTGTTTGTTTTGTTTCCTTTATAGCCATATCGCTGTTCAGGGATTTGTAATTATTCGTCCTTGGCTCTCAAATTATAGGGATTGATTGTTAATGATAAAATAAGTATTTTTTGATATAACTTTTAATTGATGATTTTTATTTGTAAAGAGCAATTGGTTTTAAAGTTCAATTATAATGACATCATTTCATTTGAAAATACAGTATTGACAAACACCTAAGCACCATTTATCTAACATCCGACACAGATCATACAGGCAAAATATTGTGTTAATATTACACAGGGCATCCTTGGCACAGTTTCATCATGGGAATCTGGTTTTTGGATAATACACAACAACTTGTTATTTCCTGCTTTAACAAACGGCGCCTTGGTTGTACCAGGATCAAAGGCATGGTATGCAACAACTGTTGGAGATAGCACTGCTGATGTTTTCTATATATGTTTGACTGCAGGTAAATGTTTTTGCCAGGTCTTCACTCAAGCATATAACATGTATAATGTTTATCCGTTAATGGGTGTCATTGAAATATAATAAAACAATAAATAATTTTTTTTTTTATAAATTCTTCTCTAGCCCGAAAATCTGTTATTTAATGAAAATTATGAAGAATTATGCTGCTTAATTGAATATATACATTTACGATCTGTTATCTTTACACGAAGTTATATTTCCTTAGGAATGAAAGAAAATGTTGAATAAACCCTAAAAATTCGGTAACTTAATCGAAATACTTAACAAAACAACCTCGAGGCGGCATAAAATGATAGAAATAAAACAAAAAGCAAGGTTTAAGTTGTACCGATTCAAACGAATAGTGAACAATTGAAGTAAAACTATCAAAGATCTGTAATAAAAAACAAATGCTTTAAATTGAGAAAAAAGAAACAATAAAAGACAACCAATGACGAGGTTTCTAACCTGACAGAACATTTACATAAAATCGTGATGGAATGTACATGCCAAACGAAAAGATTATCAAGAAGACGCCGAGAACACCCAATACAACCTACATCCTGCTAGCAAAAGACAACCAGGTGTCCAGCGGAATGGAATATGATTACAGTCTTTAACTACGCGACTTATTTCCTATTGTAAATGAGAAACTAGGAGTTTGCAAACATGATGAAGACGTTGTGTGTATTTCTTTGTTTTTTCTTAATATTAAACTCGATGAAGTTTAACCTTTCTTAAATGGAGAGGATTGCTTGAAAGACCTTTTCGCATACTTTTATGTGGGCTTCAATTAAATCATTTTTATAAAACAACCGTTGTTAGTATAGTCACCCATGAAAAAAAAAGACTATTCAAGTCGGTTCGAGTAAAGATAAAAGTTTGATTATTAAACCATTGCGCCATGACATAAAAAGAAGAAAAAATACATCCTGGCTACGTTAAATGACAAAAGTGCAAACTTACAGGGAAAAGGCTCTGCAACATATATGCTTGTTGTTCATTCTAATATTTTTACTTCATATCAGCTTAAGTATACAGCGAGAATTGGTGTTACACATACATTAATGTTTAAAGAAATCGTGTTCCGAGAGTTAAGTTCTAAATTATATAATTTAATAGACTAACAAAACAGTTATAGCATATGAATATATTATACTTATATGTGAGTTAGCACTGTGTAAACACACCAAAAACACGCCATTTATGTCTTATTTCTAATATTAAGTAATAGTGGATGATGAAAATGGTTATAAACTTTAAACATATGAAATACTGTTTATCAGACAAATCGTGTTCAATGCAGATTGGGCAAAGGAAATGCGTCAAAATAAAATAATCTGCACTTATCTCAGAATGGTTTTGCAATATATTTTAACGATCGTATCTTGAACAGAGTTCTATTCAATCCTGATTCCATGTATAATTGTCTTCCCTACTAAATGAGTTCCAAATTTAAACTTTATTTAAGTCAAAAGAATCTAAAAAAATTATCAAGGCAAATTTGATTTAAGTTATGTTTTAAGATGGGATACATGTTGTATGAAACTGAAAGCTTCTCGTCGTGACCAAATTTTTGTTCTTAAATTTGTTGTTAAATATATGTATTGCTTCGAGCTTTATTTTTTTTTCTGTTTTTATCAACAATGGTTTAGGAAATAAGAAATTTAATGAATGGTATGACCTCGGATACTTGCCAATGCAGTTTTTCTGAGCCTGTATTTGGCTAGAATATATAATCAAACCACTGAATATCTCTATATCTTGTTTGACGGAGTATATTTGTATTGGTCGATGTTATTTAGTGGGGTTCATTTTAGGATATATATTGTGATTAATGACACCCTTTTTGATTAAACTCTACAATTAATATTAAATAGAGAATTTAAACAAATGTATCATGTTTTTCAGACAATAAAGGCAATATGACTGAAATGCTGAAAAGCATCATGGCAGGCAATCCATTTCTATACAAGAAGAGACTCCAAAACTATGATTTCCTTCAACCTTATTTAAAGGAAGTACGCTCATTAAAAACATCCTTTGGATACGAAATGTCAGCAGAGATATTTTTGGTAAGACATTAAGTTTCTTTTACTTCTAATGAGACATGATTTAAAAATCTAGAATTTGTTAATAGTTGGCAAAAGGTATCTAAAAGAATTAGAAAGATAAATTATTTTCAGAGCAATTTCGAATCTCTCATACATAGAGAGTAATAAAACATAAAGATGGAATCGATCTGAAATGTAATAAAATCAGACATAAAAAAATAAAATTGACAACACGACAAACAAGATTTAAAAACATAACAGAGAAATCAATGGATTGAACAACACGAACCCCATATAAACCGCATCTTAGGAAGGGAAAGCAGTTCGTCCACTACATGTGGAAACCGTACTGTTGCTGATGCAAGCACAAATCCGCATTCAGTAATGTTACAATGGACAAACAGAGGACGTGGTTGCGATTACGACAATTGACATATATCACTTGACATCTGCTGTACACAGATGTTTCATGAAGGGGTATAACATCAACTTTACCACTTAGATCGATACTGCTTTCACTTCCTGGTAGGAAATAACTTTATCTCAAGGAAATAATTATAGCAAACTCGGAAATATCTTACCAATTATGAGATATATATAAGTTATGTTGGAATTGTAAATGAAGTCAACTGTAGTTAAACTATGTTCAAATAACATAAATCGATAAAGTATACAAGTCAAAGCAACAAACAAAAAGTGATGTCTCGTTGTGTCTCCTGCTATGCATGCATCACCAGCAATGTGAATCCAAACCCAGTCAAATTTCAGCAACGGGTATAGGACACTATCGGTATAATTATTGTGATCTGAGATCTAAGACTTCGAAAACATGTCGCTAGAGAGATGATACATACCAGTCAACCAATTCGAGATGTTGATTATTCAACTTATATCATGTCGATTTCAGTCGTCCATTCTTGTAACTTTGTTGGAGGTATCAGTTTATGTCTAAGGACCACATTGAAGCAAATAAAGTTCGTAAAGTGTAAATTTGCACGAGCATAAAGTCAGTGCACCACTATTACCCTGTGGAATACCTACCGTCTGTTGAAATATCAAGCCCCCAGACTCAACAAATATGTTATCGATCAAAAAGACCAGCATTTTGAGGAAATCTTCCTTGGTGTATTTTTTTTAATCAGTGAGGTTCTTCACAATTTTAGATTGTCGTGACCTTAAACATTTTTGTTATCCACTACCCAATTACTTTAGAAAAAGCTGTATTCAATGAGTCGATGAATTAATAGTTTAAAGCGCAGAAAGATTTGATATTAATAGAAAATTGAAAAAGAATGTGATTAAACACTTTAGAGTAGATCCTTAGATAAGCATCCACATTTGCCCGTAACCTTGTTTCCATTAAAAATGAACGTTAATTTCCCTAACCATTTAAGTTTAAGGAACGTTTTTATCACTCCTTCTGTGATTGTGGTCTTCAACACAGCGAGAAATTCCCGCACCCGGAGGCGGGCTTCAGCTGGCCCCTAAACAAAAATGTGTACTAGTTCAGTGAAAATTGACGTCACACTAAACTCCAAAACATAAAAATGAACTAAAATTAAAAACACATACAAGACTAACAAAGGCCAGAGGCTCCTGACTTTGGACAGGCGCAAAAATGCGGCGGGGTTAAATATGTTTTGTGAGATCTCAACCCTCCCACTATACCTCTAGCCAATGTAGAATAAACAAACACACAGCAATACGCACAGTAAAACTCAGTTTAAAAGAAGCCAGAGTCCGATGTCAGAATAGGTAACAGAAGAAACTAAGCAAAATGACAATGATACATAAATTAACAAAGGACTACTAGCAGTTACTGACATGCCAGCTCCAGACCTCAATTAAACTGTTTGAAAGATTATGTTTCATCATATGAAAATCAAGCACAATCCCTCCCGTTAGGTGTTTAGTATCATACCATCATAAAATATATGAGAAGAACATAACCCGTATCATGCCAACAACTGGATTTAGAATAAATGTGTTTATTTTCAATGCAAAGACCCTAAGAGTGAATCCATATTAATTCCAAAAAATGCCATCTTTAATGACCTGACAACAGTATCGTAACTATATCCCTTCTGAATAAGTCTGTTTAAAGGTTTGGTTAGCTTTTGATATGAATGACGACATTTTTGTGATTTGTATAGAATATTACCATAAAAGATTGGATGTGGAATACCTGAACGTATAAGATGTCTGCATGTCTAGACTATAAGTCATAAAACTGAAAGATATGATAAAACATCTGCATATTGCGTCTGTATATTTATGTACATGTACATGTATATTGACAGGAACCAACACATTTTCCATCTTTCTAGCAAAAGCAAAAAACACAAGAATAATTCCTATCAATCTTATCTTAAGACTCATATTATGTATTGAATAATCATATGATATTTAAACCAACATAATTTGCTTTATAATGGGAGGTTTAGTTAGCTATATGACCTGGTTTAACCCACCATTTCTTGGAAAATGTCTGTACCAAGTCAGGAATATGGCAATTGTTTTTCACTTTTTCAGTTGATTGCTAGCGTTTGATTTTGTCAGTTTTTATGGACTTTCCATTTTTGAATTTGAATTGAAGTTCAGATTTTTGTGATACTTATTTTTCCTTAAAAATTTACTATTATACTAAAATCATTTTTTTTCGGACTGTTATAACACAATTTGCCTAGTAAGTTGTGTCATCAGGACACTCAAGGGGGTTTTCATAATTTGTAGTGAACGTATATTGTGGTTTTAAATATTATGTCACTGTATAACTATGGAAACTCTGTACAATCAAATGCAAAAAGTGTTTCTTTTATATCAACTATTGCAAGACAACCGTTTTATACTTAGGTATCCACCCAAGTGTCACTTTAACACTTTTTCCTAACCCATTATGCCTTGGGTGTTGGATCACTTAACCAAAAATATAAAAGAGTAAAGCCATTCTAAACATAAAATAAATGTTTAGTCAGTCAGTCATAATCATTTTAAATTTAATTAATATTTCACAATCATGAAAATATCGTAGACTAATCGCCAATTTCATTGTTCTCATACAACATTGTATATTTTATTTAACCACCACCTTACTCAATACTTTGCAAAATTTGAAAAAAAATCTTTGATATTATATAATTTGATTACTGTTAGCAAGGCCTTCAGAATTTAAATCTAATAGTCTTAATCGATATTGTTACATGTGTTAGACTGTATTATCGTGCTGTCTATTATCTGACTTGCAAAATTTCCAGCTAAAGAATCGTTTTAATCTAAATATTCACTAGGTGACTATTTTTTTATTTCCGAATTCTTGATTTTTAATATTAAATTGCTTACTTGCACACTTTGTTCATGATACCTTATCAGCATTTTCTGTACATATCGTCAAACGTACTATAGCATGAGCTTGTCTGATTTTGTGACATTTATATGACTGCAAATAACTAGTACCACTTCTAGCTGACAGTCAGTCCGTGAAGGAACTAATAATTTCAGGCCAATATTTCGGTACTCATATTATTAAAAAAAAAAAATACAGACGTAGCAATTAAATATACGGTTATCAAATAAAAAACCCAACATATAATGACTAACATAGCAATGATAAAAGACCAATACAAATTTACAACACCCTACAAGGAAACTACAAAATTCAACTGTCAACTTAAAAAAAAACCAACGAAAAACGACGAAAAGACCAAAAAAAGTCTACATAACTTATTATAAAAAAAAATGAATACTGAGCAACACACCAAATACAATAGATACCAAAATCAAAACTGCACATTTTATTTTCGAAGGAACCTATCCCTTCACATAGTTGGCAATAAAACAAAAATCATCGTCAAAATTTAAAATGAAATTATAGTACACTCTATTACATATATCGTATATTGTCCTTTCAAAAAACAAGCACATTTACCTTGTTCCTTTGTGAAGTTTATTCTATACTAACTCGATGTTCAAACTTTAATTATTGTTTTTTTTTACTGCTAAACTTTGAGCTCAAGCACGTTGAATGAGATATGCACACAATTCTGTTTTTAATTTAAATCCAATATATGAATACAAATTCTCAAAATGTTTTTTTGCACATTGCATATTTTATTATTCACTTGAATAGTAATGGTATATGCTTTATATACAGTTTTGTTTTCAAATAGAATTGTATGCATACATCCAGCAACAATGTTTCCACAAACTGCCTATTTACGTACGCTGTTACAACTGGTGTCGGCATAACTATTTTCACACGACCGAGGGGAATGATAAAACACAGCAGTGCTTTTTGCTATGATGATCAGTCAATTTCTTCGCTTGACTTTCTAAAGCTGGAAAAACGTTCACCGTTGCAGTCTGGTTTTTTTCATTCAATGTTTGCATTAAGCGACAAAACTGATTCAAGTGTAACTGGGATGACTTGTTTCGGTCAAGATATTGCTGCAAATGCAGAGACCATAGCAGTTATGGTAAGTTATTGATATTTTTAGCTTAGTGCTTAGCTATGTAAACTAGTTCAGCGAAAATGGACATCACACTAAACTCAGAAATACATAAATGAGCCGAAATAAAAAACAAAAAACATGCAAGACTGAGAAAGGCCAGAGGTTCCTGACTTGAGACAGGCGCAAAAATGCGGCGGGGTTAAACATGGTTTGTGAGATCTCAACCCTTCCCTTATGCCTGTTGTTTAAAAAATGTCTGAGTCCGATGTTAGAATAGGTAACAAAAGAAACTAAGCAAAATAAACAATCAGTAAAAATAAACGAAGGACTACTAGCATTTACTAGCCTGCCAGCTCCAGACCTGTATTTTATATATATATATATATATAAATATTAATGTTCAAAATGGACTAAAAGTTATTTAATTAACTACTTTTTTGGTTTTTTTTTTGGTTTTTTTCACATTTATCTATATATATATATATTTCACGGAAAACGGTTTTGAAATGAAGTGTTAGTTTAACAGTTAAACTAACACTTCATTTCAAAACCGTTTTCCGTGAAATATATATATATATAGATAACTGTTTGATAATATCATTGTCAAGATACATGCTAAATTAAAAATTCCCTTTCACTGCATGCATGGGAAGTACATAGGAGCATTTGGTATTTTAGACATATCAATTTCAGGACTGAAATTACAGTAGTCATCTGTTGTGGGTTAGTAACACAACATCTCGACGACTATAATGTATTTCTTTTTAGATCTGTGCTTACTTACCAACAGTATACGTTGACGTTATTAAGTCAACTCGATTGACGCAATGGTCTTGCAACAATAAAGACACTAAAGATAGTCAAACAGATATTGCAAAAATTTACAACAAAGGCCAGACGAGACATAGAACAGACACTTTAACATTACCCGACATTAAATCCCAAATATCTTCTGCAAGTCCTACCGAGAAAGATGCAAATGAACATAAAAGAGAGCATATACATGATGCCACCAATGACAGTGACGAGAAAGATGTTGCCAAGTTTTGCCAGATGTATGACTGTGACAATTATAATAGTAATGTTGAGTCGGAAGATTTTAATATCAATTCGTTCAATAGCCAGCTTCTGAAAAACCAGAAATTGACAAACAGGTATTTATGATTAGTGAGTCAGCAAATGCTTTATTTGTGTGTGACCCATAACAACTACAAGTTCCTATTGAGCCTTTAATTACGACACATCTATTTGCTGAAGATATATGTTTTTGGAAAAACAGATAATCAGTTTTGTCACATATCATCCGAAAATCTCATTGCTTATTACGACAACATGAAATACATTAAGACTATCACAGGATATAAAGAAATGAATTGAACAATTTGACATGTCATGAAAAAGAGAGAAAAAAAGTGGCACTAAAAAAACATAATCCCAAGAAAAACGGACAACCCTATGAGCAATTGAACACAAAACGAAACAGAGACCACCGCCTTAATGAAATAATCGGGGGTGTGATTAGGTGCTGGGTAGGGTCTTTAGAATCTGATTTTACAGTGACACTTTCTCGTCACTCCTGTTAAGTGTATCAATAAGTTCTGTCAAATTATATGAATCATACCACAAGTACTTGTCCCTGAAAAAATATTTACCTATATACTTTGATATAACACAAGGCACCTAACTCGAATATTTGAGAAATATCATCCGGTCGCGAACTTCCGTTATATTTCGATTTTGCGCTTGTCTATCACACTGAAACTTGTTATCTCATAAATTTACATTAAATTATTTACAAAATGGTGTATAAAAAAAAAGTAAAATCACAAAAATACTGAACTCCGAGGAAAATTCAATCGGAAAGTCCCTAATCACACACCTATTTATATTGTTGGAATCATTCGTAACAGGCATTCCAAGGATGTCAACCGTAATTATTTCGTCTTCTCACAGCCCAATGCAAATGTTAATCTCGCATTGAATTATAAATTATAAAAAGTATTTCCCAAAAACCTGTTAGTTTTTCTCTGAATAGAACTTATCATCCAGATAGTAAGTTTGTAAATGATTCTGTGGACAAAAGTCGAATAAGTGTTGTTTGAGGTATGTCTAATATGTTAGGAGTTTCTATCTTTAAACTCAAATTTCCCCCATTCGATAAATGTCATTCAGACTCTTTCTCTTGACTTTTCATACAGAACTGAGATAACTAAAGAAATATTATTTTTAGCAATAACATTGACCAATCGGAAACCGAGATATGCATAAAAGAGGGGAAAGATACAAAAGAGAAAATTATAATTAACAAATGCCTGTACCAAGTTAGGAATATGACAGTTGTTATCCATTCGTTTGATGTGTTTGAGCTTTTGATTTTGCCATTTGATTAGGGACTTTCCGTTTTGATTTTTCCTCGGATTTTGGTATTTTTGTAGATTACTTTTTACATGTTGAGTCAATTTATGAGCATTTCCGATGGACTGTGAGAAGACGAAATAAGTCACAAAAGCCTTTTCGGGGCAATAACTATTTTACAGAAAACGTCTACCTTTGTTGTACATAAGAGACATTTTTGGATACAAAATAATTTTTTGACATAAGTATTATCACAATATGTTACTTCAGTCAGGAATGTGCAAGAGACTTTAGTCGGCATTTTCAATGGCTCGAAATGCCATTCTATTGTTCATTTGAAACGGTGAATATCAACAAGTGTCAACCCTAAACAATTATTTCACTTCGGACTGCTCTCCTGGAAAACAACCTTTAGGGTTGACAAATTTTGACATTTACCCTTGAATATGTCGTAAATTTTGTTACTAAGAGATGGTGTTTTTGTCATATTCTATTTCTTTGGAGGACACAGTCTACTTTAAAATAACTACATCTACTAATTTGCTGCAAATATAATAATAATAATTTCCATTATTTTAACAGGATAGCATATTTAACACTACGCCTATTTTACAATAAGGTCCTGCATTAAACACATATATTACAACATGCGATACAACATTTTAAAGACAAAAATCCTACATACTCCATAGAAATATCCAGCAACCTGAGTGTTTCGGACAAGATAATAACGATGCCAGAATTTATATAATTTATGTGTTTCGATTTGACCTCCTACATTTGAAATGATAGGCTCTTACCCTCCCGATACTAAATTTGAAAACAAATTATTGTAAAGATCGATAGAGAAATGCAACCTCTTTAGTGTCCATACGTGAGTAACGGATGGACGCAGAGACGGTCCTGTTATGAAATAAACTTCGGCAGATGGCACTGAAATAGATGAAAGAGTAAAAATATGAGGAAAATCCTATTTGCTAGCGTCAAAAAATTCAATGGAATAGTCTTCATTGAAATATTTACAATCATATAATTGCATCAGACAAAAATTCGGATTTGATTGATCGCAAGAATAATATACCTTACGACATACAATAAATATTTGTTTCAGAAATACCTGGTAATAAGATAAAACAGCTACTCAAAATGAACAAAATCACAAAAAAGCCATTTGTTCAATATCAGTTCCTTTTTTATAAAAACAATTATACTGTTGAACTGAATATGATTATACTGTTGTCAGGTCATTAAAGATGGCATTTTTTGGAATTAATATTGATTCAATTATAGGGTCTTTGCATCGGAAATAAACACATTTTTTCTGAAACCAGTTGTTGGCATGATACGGGTTATGTTCTTCTCATATATTTTATGATGGTATGATACTAAACCCCTAACGGGAGTGATTGTGTTTGATTTTCATATGATGAAGACATAATCTTTCAGTAGGTTTAATTAAGGTCTGGAGCTGGCATGTCAGTAACTGCTAGTAGTACTTTGGTAATGTATGTATCATTGTCATTTTACTTAGTTTCATCTGTTACCTATTCTGACATCGGACTCGGACTTCTTTTAAACTGGTTTTTAATGTGCGTATTGCTGTGCTTTGTTCTTGTTTATTCTACATTGGCTAGAGGTATAGGGAGAGAGTTGAGATCTCACAAAACATGTTTAACCCCGCCGCATTTTTGCGCCTGCACCAAGTCAGGAGCCTCTGGCCCTTGTTAGTCTTGTATGTGTTTTTTAATTTTGGTTCATTTATATGTTTCGGAGTTTAGTGTGACGTCCATTTTCACTGAACTAGTACACATTTTTGTTTAGGGGCCAGCTGAAGCCCGCCTCCGGGTGCGGGATTTTTTTTCGCTGTGTTGAGGACCCATTGGTGGCCTTGGGCTTTTTTCTGCTCTTTGGTCGGGTTGTTGTCTCTTTGACACATTCCCTGTTCCCATTCTCTATTTTATTATGAAATGATGTTCTTGAATGACTTTTCTTTGATATCTTCCCTCCATTTCTTCCTGTAAACCGCAAATGTAATTAGTCGAGCCGAAAGTTTATTCTAATAGGAACGGACGCATACGGTTCCTTATTTATTTTAAAGGGCAAGGGTAACACTGCTTTTCGAAGAGACAAGGAACTATATCTTCCTTTAAAGAGGAAACACTACATTTTGTCGAATATTTTGTATTTAGGTTTAATGAAATGGTAGCTGATATACAAATGCAACATAACTTAGAAAGTCCACGAAAAACCAACAAGAAGATCAAACAGGACAAACATGGTAAGTTTTCAAAATTATCAAAACAAAGTGATTTGAAAAGAAAAAGAAAACAAATGAAACTATTGTTCTTCAACTTCGTTCTTTATTTGGCCTTTTAAAATTTTCTTATTCGAACGTAACTGAAGAGACTTTTGTAAATACATTTGTACAGTCACTGTACTGAAACTATATATGTAAGTTACTTCCATTGATAAGTTAATAATATTAATTTATAGTTCTAAACCGATGTTATTTTCCTTCGCATGTTTTTTTATTGTTATAGAGGTCTTCATTCTGAAAAAGCTTTTTGTTAAAGTTTTATTCACAGATTTCAACGATTTAAAAATGTGTAGGAAATGAAATCTCAGAAAGCTTTTCTATCCTAATCACCAATGAAAGGTTCTCCAAGATCACTGTTCACTACTCAATCATCTTCAATACCAACAAGCAATGATGATCTTACATGCATTCCTCGGTGTCATTCTTATCGACTATCAAAAAGTTATGTCATTCTAATCGACTATCAAAAAGTAAAAGTTATGTAAATAACTGCCATTTTTCACAATTGCATGTTACCAAAATTGGATTATAGGGTTGCATAGTTCTAATTTTGACCAAGATTGTAACCTAGTCAATGCTTCAAAGAAAAGCACATAAGCATAATGTATAAGCTTAGCATTTTGTTTATAGTGTATACACACATTTAATTGTTTTAAGTTTCAAAGGTTAACAATTAATCTATATACCACTTCTGTGTTTTGATTCAAAACAGACATAGTTGTTCCAACTTTTAACGTTTCAAAGTTGTGTGATCATTCTGATGTATTAGCTTTTGTCAATTTATTATATAAATATTTAATCATTTGCATATTAATTAATACAATTTTGAGAGGTATCTTACTATGACAAAATTGTATGATTATCAATTTTATTGGATTTGATGTGCTAATGTGCTAACTTGCATTGCAATACTTTTTTAAATATTATTACTGAATGTAATATGTAATTAGCCACGATGTTTAAAAGTCTAATGGGGTGTGCCAAGGGTAAAATTTTTGTTTTGTGTTGCATATTCATCAATTATAGACTGCAGGAAAACATCTTGTCAGGTTAGTTTGACAGATTCTTTAAAAAGTCCTTATGGGTCATTTCGTGTTTTGCAATGAATGAAAAGTATTTAATGGGAGTAGGATTTTCAAATACATCTATTTATAAAGTATTCCACCATTTTCTTATCAATCTCAAACAGCATATTTATACATTATTTAATAAAAATAAAAATGGTTTTCATTTACAATTGACAGCATGCATTTGGTTTCCATTCAATATGCAGAGTATTTTTTATTGTATAATGCAAATATATATAAGCTAGAATAAAACTGTTTTGTTTTTCTGTGTCGTTAAACTGTTGTCTCCTTGATGCGTTCCTGCCTCCTTTTATTCGTATTCATATTAGATATAAAAAAAAAGCTTGACCAGCAAGGTCTATCCTACACTTCTGCAAGGGGACTTTAAAACTGTCATTAATGTCAAAATTATATTTCCAAAATTA